TTTTGATTTAATAATAACAATCATCATCTTTTTTTTTGTTTTTTTAATTTGTTTTCTGTTGTCCTTTCGGAATAACTGTCACAAAACATTTCAAGAACAAAGGAATGTGCCTTCAGACCACAGAAGCACACTGCAATACAATAGTGTCTGCCTGAGCATTTGGACACAGGCCACAGACTTGATTATGACACTGACTCACTGGGGAACTTTTTATTTCTTAACATCATTCAGCTATGTAAAGTAAAAAAAAAGACTTGTAATTTGCTTTATTTTATTTTTTATTTATAAAGATTAGTTATCTTTATAAATTGATAGTGGGTTCAACATTGTACATCTAGAGAGACAAGTATAACATATTGTAGTGTTCTGTAAAAAATAAGAGACTTGTTTCAGACATAACTTACTGTTCAGCTTTTCACTGTAATACTATAAAATGAAGGTTTTGGGGGGGGGAGGGGCAACTGGATAAAATCAAACAGTCTCTTAATCACAGCCTAACCTACAACACAGTGAAGCACAGCATGGGCTCCATCTCCTTTCAGATCCCATCCAATGTGTAAAACGACGTTAAAATACCATAAATGAAAGCACCTTGAAAATTCCACCTTAAAATCCTACTCTAGGCCTCAGCTAATGTGAGCCTCTGTTCTACTTCTCTCTTCTCTTTTCTAGTTGCAATACTCTTTCAAGTGAGGTTTCTGACACAGCAAAAACCCCCACACTTCATCAGCCAGACACAAAGGACAAGTGTGTGTCTGAGGACAAGATAAAGAGGTCATATCCTTTTTTTATACTGTATTCTAAGATCATGCTGTTTCTAAAATAACCAACTCAGAAATAAAGTTTAGCTCAAAAACTTTTAGATTTATTACAAATATTTTCATATATGTCACAATTTCTAATCCCTTGCGGTATTTTACACAAATGTAAAAGAATCAGCCTTTTCTTTTTTTTCTTCACTCTTCACTCTCCCATGCTTTGTGCAAAGCCCCACAATGAATACAAATTGGGTTTGTTATCACCGTGATGGAAATTTCCCTTTTTATAATCTCTTCTTTTCTCATTACTTTCATCTTAAAGCCCTCAGATCAGAAATTTGAATCACAGGTTTCTATCACGAAAATTTGACTAAGGAGCTTGTTGGTGCTGGAGACTTGTAAACTGCTGTAAAGGGTCTGAATTAATGGAATTTCAAGAATAGTAATTAAAGGTAGAATTTGGGGTGATTAATGATTAATTTCCATCCAAGAAGAAATAAGCATTTTTTATTGAAAAAACTGTTTAGACAAACATAAATAGCAGCCTTTAAAAGCAAATGTCTAAACTAGGAAGGTTAATTAAACATATGAATATTTTAAGTAACAAAGAAGTTATTTTCAAGTTGTAATAAAATGTAATTTAACCCTCCTTAGCCATCACTGAAAAAAATAACTAAATGAGCTGGCTTTTAGTCCACAAAAATGTACTGCTTCAGTTCAAATGCAAATCAGGAGATGATGTTTACTCTACATATAAATTGTATACCTATTTAGGTTTGCATATTAATAAGATAAAAATACTTCCAAGAATTATCTGAGATTTTGGAAATGTAGTCATCTGCAAAGTAAATAAAGCAAAATGACATTATCGGCCCTTATCCAAAGAATATCTAACATTTATTATTCACGTTTGGTACACCTTGAATACATTTTCTGCTCAAAAACTTAAATCTAAAGCTCACAAAAAAGCACCACATTATTATAGTAGAGATTTTTAATTCACTGCAGTTTGAATCATGAGACATCCCTTGTGTTAAAATGGAAAGAGCAGTTCTACTACAAAAACATAAGAAGAATTCTTGATATACTGGTCCTGGATTATTATATGTTACAAAACACAAAAGCATGAGCTGCAGATAGTAAGTGCTGAAAATTACACCCTTTGGCTACATTTAGACAGTTAAAAGCATTTCTACACAACCTTCCAGCCTCACGTCTTTACCGAAGAATGTCAGGCATCATCAAATCTATGAATTCTTTTCTACATAATGGAAAACAATTCATATGTATGGCTACGTAATATCACTTTAGTATAAATGTATGTGCCATAAACATGTCTCCAAGACATCATCGTGGATTGAAAATACAGTTGCCTACTTTTGTGTAATAGGAAATGGGGGTGACATGCTGGTTTGCACCACTAAGTCTCAGCTCCAGAGATTTCAGACTGGGATGCCAGTCTATGTGAAGCTTGCATGCTCTCCCTCTCAGTGTTCATGTGTTTTGGCTGGGTGCTCCAGTTTCCATCCAGCTTCCACACACACTCCTTAAATTGTTCCTTTCCAGGGGTTTGGGGGAGGGTGGGGGTTGTTTCAGCACAACCAGCGCTAGAAAATGCATTTTAGAGAAAATGACCCAGATGTTCTGGATGTGGCCTTTCTGATACAATCCTTTCCATTATGTTTATTTTTTCAAAATAATTTTCATCAACCCGAATTTTCTAACTTGAGCCATTCATTGGTCATTCATCCCTCATGATTGAGGATAATTGTCTTCCACAATACAAAAGGTGACCAATAAGACCAGCGAACACTCTCTGGCAGGTGGAGCATGTGCTGTTCTGGACGATATTGTCACAATCGCTACTCCTCCTTTTAAGGGCGATCCAGCCCTTCCTTGTTTAGCCCCATTACCTGCACCTGCTTCTTATTTCTGTTCTCCCTTAAAAGCCAGATGCTGACATCATTCGGGGTTCCCCGAAATCCCGGAATCCCGTTTCGTGAGAGCCCGGGTCCTGCAGCGTCTGGCTCCGTTATGATTTTAACTTTCTGTTGCTGATTCCCCCTGCCGGTTCCGACCCGGTTCCTGTTCCTTATCCCCCCGGATGGATCGCCTGGCCATGGACTTTTGCCTCTGTTTTTGATTACCCGTTTGGATTTTCTATATGGATTGTTCGCCCCGGACTCACTTCCCCTGGACACCTGCACCCCTTGGACACGCCCCCTGTCTCCAGACCCTCTCCCGCATGACCTTTTCCCCAGTGTATCTTCACAATTCCGGATCGTGTCATCTGCATAGGGCCCGGAAAGAACTGTTTTGTGACAGATATCAGGTCATGTACTGTGCCATCCACTCCATCACGCTCTGGCTTGGTTTCCTTGTTCTGACATCTTTGGGCCTCAAAGTGCTGGGATCCTTCCCAGATATTCTCCCTCCATCTGGTTTAGTTAAGCGCCAAAATCTCCCACAAGTCAATACTGATGTCACATTTCTTTGTGTTTGCTTTTACCACGTCAGTGAAAGACTTCTGGCCTGCTCTGATGTGACTGCCTTGCCTAACCTGTGAGAAAGAGAACCTTCTCTGGCAGCCTGATACTTGATAGCTGGAGAGATCCTTGCACCAGTGCTTGTTGTGCCTGCAGCACTGTAACTTTTAAAAATTTAACTAGAGCACTTTTATAATGCAATTAATTTAATACAACTCCTGGAAAAATATGAAAGAGTATAAAACAAAAGTCTAATCATGTGCAGGCTCACTCCAATTTAATCTACTGCAATTCGTTAAGGCTCTCACTGGACAAACCCCTGCACACTAACCCTAACCCAAAATGCAGCCATTAAATCAAGTTTTAGACAGTAGTTTTAAATGAATTTAGCATATTGTAGAACTGCAAAAACAAACTCATTATAGCTGCCAATTAACTTACAAGTCAAGGGTCAAATAAGAACCTAGCTTTATTTACAATGAAATATAATAAGGGTAATAAGGTGTTTTCTTTCCTCTTTTTTTCAACATGGAATAAACCTATTACTGTTCCTTTGCAGCCTATGCATGCTGACGCAGCTACCCACCTGAACTAATAAGGGTAAGCCTATATCCAATTCCTTGATTATTTTTCTGAAAACTATCTTTTCAGAAAAAAAAGCTTTATAGTATACTGCGAACATATGTACTGTATGTGAAAACAAAAATCAATTTCCATGTTGGGATTAGAGTCCTGTTTTAAACACTACAACTATCTGGGGTCCATAAAGCACTTGCTCCCTCTATGCGAACTCACAATAAAGTGACCTAAACCATAGAAATGTCCTCAGATTGCAGCACAGCTTTAATGTCAGTCCAACCAACCCACAACTTAGATATTGTTGGAAACCAAATATTTTGTTTTTCGTCATAACACTATTCCTTTCAGATACAATAAACTATTTTTAATGTATTCTGCAAACGTTAATTACATCAGCACATTCATGTACTGTAACATTACGATTCAGACTATAGTACTCTTCGCATTAAAAATATAAGATTCTGAAATGGTTATCATTCTGGATTTATTTCCTTTAAAAGGAAGAAGAAAGGAGTTTTCAATATTTGCCTGTACTGTACTTTCATTTAAACAATCTCATTTCATATAGGCATATAATAAGACATATACTGTATGCAGCGAAATAGCCAGGTTACTTGCTCTTTCAGTGTTAATGTCGACATCTTTTAGATTTGTTGTTGGAATATTACGTGTTGTTACACATGAATATTAGGATATCGCATTAAAAGAAAATGGTTCGTTACTACGGCGTAGAACGCTAGACCCTACTCTAGTAACCTACATACCGAATATGCACTGGACAGGGTTTTGGAGGTGGCACATAAATTCTAGTCTTCTAGCCGTCGCGTACAGTATGTCGTGCATCACTTCTGATTCATCCTAAGATTACAAAATCATGTAGCCGCCTGTTTCAAGGATGTTTTTTTCTGACCAGAAAACACACAATAATAAACGCTTTTGACCACGAAAATAAAATCGATTCCGATTCCTTCCGCGTTCCGTTCGGAGCGGATTTTCCCAAGTCCAGCTACCTGCGATGAACGCTTTGATTCTATAAACCCCAGCTTCTGATATCCGAAAGCATGTACAGTAGCAATTGCACCAGATATTAATGTTGTAGAACTGCAAAAGCGACATAGTAGCCTACAATATATAAATTAAACACAAAACACACACATAGAAGGTATTTTAATCTTACCGCTGTATTCTTGATTGTACTGTAGACAACAACTTTCAGAGGTCTTCCTCTGTCAGTACCCAGCAGAAAAAAAATCCGGACACGGTGTTTTTCAACAAGAGAAAGGATTTACCGGGCTTCTGACCAGCGTGGTATTTATCGGAAAGAGGCAGGAAATTTTGTTTCTGTGCCTGCTGTCAGAATAACCTTTCCTGGATTTCTCTTTCCATAAAACGGAGGAGAGAGGGAGCCGCCTGGCGCTGTAGTTCGAAACAGCAGGAGCGTATTTAGTGGCACCGCAGGGCACAGGAAATATGAGTCCGAGTTGCCCAACTGAAGAGGAAACTGCGTCTCCTCCTAATCCTACACGATAATAAAAAATGTTGAAAATAACCACCGCGTGTACGTCACGTTCATTTAAAACGTTTACATGGAAGATATTAAAATGAAATTAATTCAAGCAAAACAGAACATTCCACGTCACCGAGTCATGCCTGATCTAGATTCCTCAAAATTAATTTGTATGCATTTGTTCCGTTTAAAAATAAGACAGATCATCGTAGGGCACCGTTAATTTTCAGCATCAAAAAACCCTAAACAGGTGTGGAAAGGGTTAGGCTCAGTCAAGCCACTTAACATCTCGTAACAGTGCTAACAGTGCTTCTGTGATCAGCAGTTTCTGTGATCAATTGGCATTCTGTATAGCATTCTAAATACATACATCAGTTTATCAGCTGTCAGTTTTCATTTAGTATTTTCAGGCCACGTTTAGGCGGATGACCAAGAATATAATACATCGAAATAAACTATTTCGCCTTGTGTAAAACAATTTGTCAGGCACATGATTATTTCACCGACGTTAGAGGATTTCAAGACTGTTTTATGTCTCAATTTATTTATCTTTAACCAAATAAGAAGAAACAATTACAGGACGACAACAAGACCCCTATGCTGGTGCCGCTAGAATATATTAAGGGAGATGTGGAGCTGCTGTGATTAAAGAAATAAGCCTCGACTGTTCTTTCTCGGTAATATGAAACCCACAATTCTTATGAATTAATTTCAGTTCATATGCATATTAACACACCTTACTTATGAATTCAGTTCATAATAAGTATTTTCATTTTTGTCTTGAATTGAAATTATGTAATTAGATTTGCACTGTTGGATGTTAAAAAGAAATTCCAAGGTCTTCTTATAACACTTCCAAAGATTATGAAAGACAAACTTGTGAACTGGTTTATTTATGTTTAAACAACTAGAAAAGCCGTAATTCATACACCTTTTTTTTCATTGTTTTGAATATGTCGACTTTGATAAGACGTCAGTTAAATAATAGCGGCTAACAAAGACTGACATTTATCTTTAACAGCAGAACCGAAGACAAAATGCTATTCTTGCTGTTTATTTAGATGTAGAAATAGTCATACATATAGAACGGTGGATTATACTGATTTGATTTATAGTATCTTCTGTGCTGAGTGCTCTATGCAATTACCTGTCAGAAATGAGTGATATGTTTTTTTTTTTAAAAAACATTTTGGAGCATAGCAAATGATAAACTGATCATTAGCAGGTTGTCATTTCAAATTACTGCGTTCTGGATTTGCATTGCAAGAAGCGAAAGGTTTCCGAGGTATTATTTATATGCATAGAGGCAAGTCTTTTTACTGCCCCCAGTCAAGGCTGTTAAAATCAGAGCACCTCTCACTTCATGTCTGCTTATCCACCCATTTTGTCCCTGTAAATCTGATCTGTCAACAAGGCATGAAGATCTGACACTGGAACAGTTCATACATTATACAGCCTACTTGTATGAGTGAAAGTCCTCTGAAAAGCAAAGGTCAGTCTTGGTAATGAAAGGGAGGGGCAGTCTGCTTTTATTATGCCGATAACTGTGGGTTTTACAGTTTGACTCTGGATTTTATGCCTCATTCTATTGATAACCTGTGGAGTTTTACAGTATGTCTATCCATCAGTTTTCTAACTGTGTCTTCCAATTCAGGGTTGTAGTAACAGGCAGCAAGCAAAGGGCAGAAGGCAGGGTACACTCTGGACAGGACATCAGTCCATCACAGTGCAGACACTGCTCTGAGACACATTCACTCAGGGCCAATATTCCCAGGAGACAATTAACACACCAGTATGTCCTAGGACTGTGACATGAAACCAAAGAACCTGGAGGAAACCCAAGTGAGCATAGAGAGAACATCTAAACTCCACGCTGATAGGAATCTGGGTCCCAAATTGAACCCAGGTTCCAGTGCTGTGAGGCAACAATGCTATGACACTGTGCCACATTGCCACCCTACAGTGTTACAGGACATTGATGGTTTTAACTCTGGAGAATCAGAGTGCATATGACTTGGAATATTAGCTAACAAAGACAAAACCTTTGCAAAGAAGACAATTTCAGTTCCTAGAAACTATAATAAATGCCCTTGGACAGATTAAGGATTAACCTGTGAAACTGGTCTATCAAAAAGAAAGGTAGTTATGAAGAAATAACAGCTCATGGCCCTGTTACAAGGTTTTTGTTTATTTCCATTCAGATATGATCAATGTTACATGCTGGAACAAAGAATAATCTTTAGGACAGCAAACACCAAATATATTTAGAAAGAGCATTAGTCCTAGTTCAGATAATTCATAATCATTCACTTCTTATCTGTACTGTCTGTTTTTTATCCATTAACCTGTTCTCAACCTAAAAAGCATATAACCTTAAATGCCTATAGCCAACAATTATAAAAGTAACCTTTATGCAGAACTTCATCAGAAGTCTTCTGAAAACTCAAATACATTCTGTTTGTATCCATTTTTGTTGTTTCTTGTTAAAACAACAAGTTAGTTAAGCAAAACCTTATGTATCTCTTCTAAATCATTGTTGACTATGCCCTAGAATCTTATTACGATACAAAGATTCCTCTAGTTTAATTCTTATCATCACCTCTATAACCTCACACTTATTAGAAGCAGGATGTATTGGTCTATAATTAAAGCATTTCTCATCCTTTTTATGGATGGTGCTATATTAACAAGTTTCCAGTCAATGGGTATTACCCCCCCTGTCTTGGTGGAAATCTTAATTTTATTTATTAGCCATTTCCCTTTTCATTATCTAAGCATTCTTAATGAATTCTGAGAAACTTAACTTCATCCTTTACTATTCTTTTACTATTGTAATGCTGGGGATGAACTTTTATCATTTATTGCTCCATTGCAATATCTTTCTACTATAATATTTTTGCCCCTGCTTGCAGTATTGTCCCATATTTAACTGAATTTTGTTTTGTAAATCTTTTAAGGAAGTTCTTTCTTTGTCAGAATGGTTTTATTCACAGAGTTCTTAAACTATTTCTAGCCCAGCTCTACACTGACAGCCTGGACTCACCAATCAGCATACATTAGCTATGTATAAATATTTAAATATTTAAATATTTCCCCTTTCTCGGGGAAAAGTCTGGACTTTGGTCCTAGTACAATAATGATCATAAATACTGTACGTAAGGTAACTTCAGTGCCTGTCAGGTTTTCCATCATTATACTGATGTCATTGTTGCAGTGGTTACATTCATGTATTACAAATGTCTTTTCAGGAAAACGCTTCTTGAATCGAGGGATATGTAAATACAATAAATTATTTATGGTCCAAAAATGTCCTCACTGTCAATGAAAAAATGTGTGCAACATGCTCTCAATTTGAATGTCATTTAGTTCTGAAAGGCCGGAAAACTTTTACCATAGTCTTATGAATATAATGAGGTTTATGAATTACCTCTGGAGATCTCCAATACAGCAAGGCAGGGAATAAGGTAACCATTTAAGTTTGCAGATGGGAATCATACTAATTATCATCCTATCACAAAAATATGCCATACAAAAGGTTTAACAACTCACTAAAAATAGTTGAAAGGGCAATTTCTTACATCCTATTTATGATGTTAGATAATAAATGAACACTATGGTAACCGATTTTCACCTGATCAAAGTTCACATGCTTGATTATGCCCTTTATTGCTCTTTCTCAGTTTAATGATCATCTTTTATTATTTCCTGCTGTAAGAGAGTCTGTAGCAGAAGAAACACTGACACTTCTTTGCTGTTGGAAGGTGCCACACATTTAAAGGCAAAATATAAAACAATTGAACATCACATTGAAACCATCGAAAGAATAACCCTGCAAAAATGCCTTCGAGAAGGAAAACTATTTGTTTCTTGTCGGGAGCTCTTGCCAGCACTGTTTGCTTTTCAATAGTGTGCTATACACTGTCCTCTACTGAGTGGGTCTCTTCTGAAATGGACTGTTCAGGCATAAATAGTAACAGTACCAATCCCAATGGTACCAGCAGTGCGTCTATCACCTATGGGCTTTTTACAGCTAAAGGACTACTATCTTTTTGTCCAATTTTTGGTTCTTCCCTTGAGAATGTACAAGGTAATTTATTTTCTTTTGAAATTCGTGAAGCTTATAAAAGTTTTTCAGTTTTTTTCTTTTTTATGTTTTTTCTCCTCTTGATTATGTTTTCCAACTTATTTATTTTAATTAGTCCTGTTTAGCTTTTTAAAAATAACAATATTTTAGATTAATTGTAAGTTGTATTGCCTTTCATCTGGTGACCATCTAAGTACTGTATATTCACAAAAACACTATTGAACATCAGAAGAAAAAGAAAGAAAGGTTGGAAGAAAATTAGAAGAAAAACGTCGGTGAAGCCTCTATTTGGTTGTATATTTGTGAAAAATGACTTATTAATGCCTGTTCTTAATGAAGTTCTCATGTGTATGGATTTGTCAGAAACAAAGCATGTTGGTTTTGACAAAACCTTTATACAATTGTTGTCTAAGTTAAGTTCTAGTATGTTAGTCAGAAAGATTCTATTCATTTTAGGAGGCTGAATTCTGTTATCCCCATGGCTTGGTAAGTTTGGAATTGATCTCCTGAGGTGTTTTTCTAGTATGTATACTAGTATACTATAATATTGTAGTATAGCAGTTTCATAATATTAAGAAGAAGTACAGATTTTGAGAAGAAAAAGAAAGAGGTCAGACACTCACAGATTTGTACAGCAAATTTTCCCATGTTTCAGTTTGGTTATCTCAGGAATGATGTGTTTGTCATGGACGTCCAAAGGGACTAACCGTGGGGAGCAGGAGAGCGGAAAAAGACCCATATGCATAGCGGCGAGACGGGAAAAAGACCCTGGCTCATTAGTGCAAAGAGTTTGGGAATGCCGTATAGAAACCTATGCCCTCAGGTAGCGGACGTGGGGCGCCCTGGTGCTAGGCGGGTCTCAGGACATCCGAACGTCAATGCTGAGCCAGGACAGAGTGCAAGACCCGGAAATATATAGCCCAAGGGAAAGAGAGGGACCGGAAGGATAGCAGACCAGAAACTAGGGACAGGACAGAGAAGGAGCGCCCTCTGGCTGCAGAGGGCGTGACAGTGTTCTTTTGGGACAAAAAAGTTTGAAGACTGTGATGTGCTTTGATAATATTGAGGCTGCCTTTTTGGTATCCATATTTGTTGGAGCAATGTAGGATTTGGAGACTTTACGTGATGTGAGTTATTAATGATATTAGCCTGATTGCAAAGGAATTGCTTTGGTTACTTTTGGTCATTTTCTTCTATAAATGTAAAAAATGTGTATGGTATGACCTCCCAATCTGAAATGGTGTGTTTGGACTTCAATGCTACATGCTGTGGCATCTGCAGACACACACAGGGGAGAACGAGGAAGTGTAGACTACTGTGATGCCCCCACCTTCCAGTCATGTGTCTTTTCACACGTCACGGGCAATACAGCCCTGTACCACAGGATACACAGCACCAATCAAGGAGAGACACATCCTTCAGTGACAGGGAGACTGCAGAGGTCACTGTGTCACTGGGAGTTGAGTAATCCTGCACAACACTGGGTGCCAGTTGGTTGCAACCACTTGGGGAATCCCAGTCGCAATAGTTAGTCACATGACAAAGGCTTGAACCCGTGATCACAGAGCTCATCCTGTGCTTTTACCAGGTGAGCACCTTTACCAGGTGAGCCACTCAGGTGGTCCATATCGCTTGGTAATTTTTTATAAAATAAAAATTTAAAAAAAAAAGAAATACAAAAAAAAATCCTAACAGTCATTATAGGCTCCCAGGCTCAGGAAGCTTGGAATCTTAGTTACTATATCAAAAGGTCAAAATCGTTTGTGGTTGTTTAAATTTGGAAAAAAGATATTTACTGTGCAATGGCTTCTACTATTAAGAATAATACTAAGACTAGAGGAGAATAAAACTGTTTTGCAATTTTAATGAATTTTAGAAGGCCATAATTATTTTAGTACTGTGTAATAGAGCAACAGTGATTTTGTAAAATTTTAATCACTGATGGTTTTATCTTATACCCCCTCCCAAAAACCCCACCTGGTATCACTAATTATTTCTTTACATCTCAGCTGAGAGCAACAGGAATGAGGAGGAACAGACAGGCTCATCTGATCCGCAGTCCATAAATAATTCATGCTACAAGCCTCGCAGTGATGTACAGGATAGTTAGAGTTGCAAGTCACAGATGCAGGGGTCACTGTTTCTCCGGAGGTTCAGAGAGCTGGCTGACTAATCACAACTCTACCCCAGCAGCTCTTAGTTTACAGTACACTTGGGGAGTCCAGGTGTTAGTGTTCAGAAAAGCCATGTTTTCTGGTAATTTTGAGAAAACAGCCAGGCACTGAGGAGGTGTATACAGCTCTGGGACCCAAAGGCAAAGTCCCAGCACTTGTGAGCCTGCTACCACAATGGGTAATCCCTTACATAAGGCTTACACATTTTTACCTTAGGTTCTGCAGGAATCACACTAATCCTGCTTCCTGCTAAATGTATTATAGTATGAACAGGTCATACAACAGGAGGATATACCTCTACAGCTGACATGCGACAACACTTTCATCATATCTATATAAACTACTGTACAGGGACCAAAGCAAAAGCAAAACCTTACTGTGCTCTGTTGTCAGTTGGAGCTATGCTGAGAGGTGCCTATCATTAATAATCCAGGAAGCAGTCTGTCAGTCTTCATTTTAGGGTCTGTTCCAGCAGTCAGTATGCTCAAAACATCAGGCAGACACCTTAAACCTTCTCTTTCCCAGACAAGGTCAATAGTATTTATGTTAATGCCTGTATTGAGTGTTGTGACATTAATGTGCTGGGCTCACACAAAATGATAAAGATAACTGGTAAAGCATCTTTCTCTCCCTGTACTTGGTGAGAAAATAAAAATGTTAACTTTGGCTTGGTTTCAAATGTTTATGAACATGTATAGATGAGTGCTGGGTTAAGCTTACCTAGTCATGAGCAGAGAAAAAAATATCTTAGATCACAAATAATATTTTCCATTCATTTGATCTATTGTCATGAATGATGAGTATGCAATTTAGGTGCCATTGTACATAATGGTTTTTCATTGTGAGAAGCATGCATTTTTAAAGATGTATTTATTTTTTGTAATACTTCTTGCTAAATTGTGGCTTTGTCTAAAATGGACAAGTGGCAAAAACAGCAATAGTAATAAACTGAGACATGGATACACATTTACAGATTTTTAATTTATTAATATTTCTTTAGCTAACTTTCTCACTGCTCTGAACCATAGTAAAGTTACCATTTAGAGCAGTAACAAAACATTTTGCTAAATTAGTGGTACACAAGACATGGCAGAGCTCTAAATCTGTTTAGCATGTTCCATTTCATCCACCTGGGGAACCACACTGAAGATGGCCTGATTAAATCACTTTGTAACAAGCACTAACATGAAAGCCTCTGTTTGTCTCTCATTTTTTCCTCAGTTTTGGAAGCACTAGAAAAACAAAAGGGTGTTCCACACATCCTGCACTGCATGGTTGTGTCATTCCTAATCATCAGCTTGATTAGCACAGCGGGCAGCTTTATTATCACCATGTACAACTCCGTCAGCAACCCCTATGAGACATATTTGGGACCCTTGGGATTGTACACCTGCAGCTCCATTAGTGGTGAGAGTCATGTCTTTCTAGTCCTTTCCGCAGTACTGCCAGTTAATCAGATTGACACTATTTATGACAAGGCTCACAAATCAAAACACCAGATTTAGAAGCTCTGAATCCCTTTGAAAGAAAGGGAGTAGAATGGAGGTGAGGTGATTCATTTAAAAGTGAAATACAGACTTGTTAAACAATAATTGTTTTGGTACTTCTCTAAAACATTTCAAATTTACCATGTTCTTGTGGGAATTGTAGGCTAATGTGATTGGCTTTGGCTGAGGTGTAAAAAGCTAAAGCTGCACATTGTACCAGAATTAGTTTTTTTGTTAGCTGGGTGCTGGATGTTGTCATATTATTAGGGCTATCTGAGTGACAGTGACTTCTATGCTCACTGAATCTCTGCACTACCATAGTCTAACTCTGTCCCGTGTTCCTGTTCATTTCCATTAAAGCTCATTTTTCAGAATGTTTAATTTACAATATCCTGAAAAAGTATGTCCTGTATACTGTAGATGCTGAAGAATTCTACTTATAGTTATTTTTTACTGACCCTGCACTTGGCACAAATTAGCAACCCATTTGCAGTGGCAGACAAGACGAAATTCAGTATCATTTCAGATATTGATGAAAAAGAATGTTTGTTTATTTTTTTTTAAAAATTAATTCTTTAATCATCTTATTTCTTTCAGGTATCCTCATTTTTTTGGCACTCATCTTGTTTGTGGTGAACGTTGAAGTGCAGAATGTATCTGCTGCCATCATTATAGGTATCAGGAATGAAATTTCACTTTATAATATTCGGAACAATCTGAACTTCCCGTTTTACCTCCTGATTCCTGCCTTTCTCAGCTCTCTGTGTGCCATCGTTATCATTTTCGTCTATGCTCATGCCAGTTACACTGAGAAGAAGAAACAGGAGAGGCCCACAGAGGAAGCTCCTAAGGAAGTGATGATGTATTAGTGGGCTTGACTTTGTTCAACATTGCAGAGACTTGTGTGAATTTACATTAGTCTTTTTGCACCTACATCCCCTCTTCGTGTCAGACTGTAGAGACGAACTTGTGTCCTGGGAAAACTAATGTACAAAACTACAATAACTAAGTACATTTTTCTCATTAATTCACACCTTTTAAAATTAAAATGATACTTTCAGAACATGTTCTCAAATTAATTTCTTATATAAATCAAACATCACACTTTAGAATATTCTGTAAACTATATATACTGATAGAAAAAAGAAATGCAACACCTCATCCTCTGGCACTCCCATCTGCGTGGAACAGGCTGAAGAGTGACCCATCCATGAAGAGGTCCTGATGCCACTGCTGACAAGTCCATCACAGCCTCTGTCTGGCCCAAGCCAGTTGGGTGTAACGTCTAGGAGGTGTGAGCTGAGGGCCTCTGATGGGTCACCTTGCTCTAAGGGCAGCAGCATGGAGCATCACTGTCCTGTCACTGATGCAGGCATTGTGTCTGCTGGCAGTTTCAGCAGCAGTATGGGTGGCAGATCTGAAACGATCTCTTAGATGAACCAGTCTGATGTGTCAGTGCTGCTCTGGTGTGGTCACTTGAGGGTGACCGGATCTTGGACGGTCATCTGTCCTGCCGGTCTGCTGAAAC